TTGCCAGACCTTCCCTCATCTCTCACCAGTGGGAAGGAAATGGTAGTGCCTCTGCTTTTTGCTTCTCCTTGACTGCCTCGTTTAGACTTGTCAGGAAGAGTGAATGGATATGAGCTGAATGGGTCTGAATGGGGAGTTAAACAAACAGACTTCTCGCTGGCAAAAATCACAGTGGCACAAGTTCATGGTGCTTTGAGCATACAGCTGGCAAGCATAAATGTTTTTTTATGGATTAGTAAGCAAAGTGCAAGCCCAGAGAACACCTCTGCTGTAGAAGAAGTAATTTTGATCTTTCATGCTTCACGTATGAAAGAGATACGGGAACTCTGGCAAACACAAATGAAAAATGCTTGCAATTTAGCTAAGTACTTACACATGAGTTTTGCACAGTGCAGTCTTTGCCAGGGTATTTATATCAGGAAGGCTTCAGAGACAAATGTATTCTACCAGTTCCCGCAGCAAAATAGACACATTGGATCTCAACGCGGCACTGGATGCAGAGGAAAATACATTGTACACACAGGATTTGCCTTTAGGCACTGTCCTGTGCAGATTTGCTGAAAAAAAAATGCACAAGACCTGGTTTCAATCACCCAAAAGGCTGTCTTTCATGACAAAAAAAAAAACAGGTGGGGGAGGTGAACCAGGTTGGGACATCAGATTTGTCTGGCTCATGCRTCAGGGCAGACTTGGGCTGCAGTGGGAAGGGAATGTGCATGTTCTGTTGCCAGGTGGCTGCAAACACAAATTTAGCTCCTGGTGGTCTTACCTTGGTTGAGACTTGGGGGTGCTTCACAATGTGCCAGGACTAACAACAAACTCTTGGATGGGAACACATGCAGGTGTTGACAGGCTGGTAATTCATGTATGTGGGCAAGTGCTGCTCATGTTGTCATAAAGTCAGGGTTCACCAAAGCCACTGTGGCCTCTGGGTAAACAGCAACCTGCCCCACACCCCAAAACAAGGGCTTGAACGATCCTGGTGCTCYGAACATCACTTTGTCCTTTCCCAAAAGCAGCAGCATGGCCTCAGGCCACCAATGCAGCTGTCTRGATGTGACTGAACCAATCCAGCATGCCTTAACAAAAAAAAGACCTTACCCAGACCAAGAGCAAGCATCTGACAGGGCTGCGGGACCCAAACGTGGGAAATGAAACATAGCTCAGTCAAAGAAAATGGGGAATAAAAGTCACCTGGAAAGAGTTAACCATTCAAAGTGGAGGCAGGGGGGAGGGCACGCTGCTTTAATCTTTTTATGGTATAAAAATTTCGTGACTGAGTTAAAGCCCTACTGTTTGGACTGGATGATGTTACGTAATTCTCAGAAATGAGAGCAGCTGGCCATGGTACAGATACCTCCTAGCAAGCCCTGCAGTGCACAGCACATCATTTACCAGGCCGTAAAAGAAAATACATTTATTAAGGGGCTTGGGAGTGAAATTTGACATGCTGGCTTGGCTTTTAGCTGTCTGGATTTCATTTACAGCTCCACTGTTTTATTTTCCACTAAAATAAATAAATAAATGAATGAAGCCCTCTTTGCTCACTTTCCCTAACTGTTTTTTGGCATGCTTTTGGGTAAATCCAGTGTAGAGAGCCCAGGGGTATTGATGAGAATGTTAATGGCAATATAGCTAAACACGCAAAGGTCTTGGCAAAATCCACATTCTGGAGGATCTGGAAAAGGCAGACAARTAATGGAAGTATTAGAAATCACCTGGCTGTTGGAGTTTTTCACTCTGAGGAAAACTGAGAGCATGTCCTGAGCGCACCAAATAATGTGAATTTTACAAACATTTATTGCTATTTCCTGATCTTTCCTCTTCCTGCCCAACACCCACCTCTTCCTACCAGCTGCACCACCAGATTTTCCATTTCTTCCTTGCCTTTGCCTCTTTTGTTTGCTTGTGTAATTTGGGGGAGGGAGGAAAAATCATAGTTTTTGGGGCTGTTTTCTGCCATTTAGCTACGGGACAGATTTCATTGCTCATACAGTTGCCAAAATGGACCCTGAGCTCACCCTGGTGTTGTTGCCCTGCTTTGCCGTGGTGGAAGGTAACACTGGCTGTCGACTTCACCACAACAYGCAAATGTGACAGCAATGGCAATGTGTCATCTACTCACAGATGATGTGGTTGAGAAATAGGTGATGTTRTTTTTTTAATACTGTTTCCCAAAGCAATTAAGAGCCCTTTGGAAAATGTGTCCCTGGGTGGGCCAATCATCCATGCTCTAAAACCTGTTGAGACCTGGTGAGTCTGGCCCTTGTGCCAGGAAATTTCTCATTTAAAAATAAAATAATATAAACCCTGTTCCCCCCCCCCCCCCTTCAATTATTCCAATAATAGTATCTACAGCTAGGTATTTAAGGTACATAGCTGAACTTTAGGTAAAATACTTTTTAAAAGCATGCAAATAGAAGTAGTCAAAATGCTAAAGAATTAAATCTGCATCTTCAATTTTAAAGGTCCTGAAAAGTGCACATGGTAGCACTGCGGATAGGAGGAACTTCAATTCTTCCACACTTGGGAAATCAGCTTAAGTCCCTTATAGGTCAAATTTTATTTAGCCATTCCTCCCCRCAGTACTTGCCACCAGAAACATGTGAATATTTAGGAGCTGTTGCTGGATTTTTTTATCCATGTATTTGGTGTTTTAAGATTTTAAGAATGTCCTGACTTTTACCTTCCCTATTTTCCAGACAACTGCTCACCTAGCAGTTTGCTGGGCTACTAATGGGTGTGTTGGGAGGAGGGGAGGACCCTGGGAAGTGGAATTCAGTTTCCTGACCTCCCCAGGGGCASCACAGCATGCATGAGCTGGACCAGCCACAGCACTCACTGTGGCTTTGCACCCTGCCTGGGCTATTGCCATTTTCAGAACGTGTCATTTTTCCTCCAGGCTGAAAGATCCTAGCAGATTTTGGTAGTGCAGTTAGTACAGAGGAAGGCACACATGCGACCATCTGGTATTGGCCAGCTGGGGGCTGGTAATTCGTCACTTTGGTGTTAACTGGGCAGGATCCGAGCAGCAGAGTCAGAGAGCAGCATCGAGTGGGCAGGGTCCCAGCAGCACTCTGGGCAGCACGAGAAAAGCACTGAGGGCTGTGTTCTGATTCTGGAAGCTRACGTGCTGGCTTCAGCAGGAGCCATGTGAGTGTAACTGCTGCCAAAGACAGGGCCCAAAGTTTAGTATTTCTCCAAGTGAGGTATAAAAATAATTATGAGCTTAGCCTGCAAAACTCAGGTCCGAATTCSTAACCATCTGGTGTTAATGGTCTGAAGTGAAACTTCAGACAAAGGTTTCATTTTACTTRTTATTCATGAGAAAAGCCCCTGGCCAGTGACTGCAGTTTTGTTCATTACTTATGGAGCTTCATAACTGCTGCCTCCCTGAGGGGTAGGGGGTGCAGAAGCCTCATGCTGTTCTGCTTTGACTTTGGGCAAGTGGCACTGAGCACAGACAGTGGGATTGCTTGGAGCACACAGAAGAATTAAGAAGCTCCATATAATATTTATCCTCTCACCATTTTCACTTCACTGACATTAAATTTAATCTTCCTWAAAAAAATCCCTGCCCAAGAGCTTATTGAATGACTGTACTCTTAAGACAAAAATATTTCTGTGCTGGAATTAACTCCTACTGTGATCCATGAGCAAAAGCTGGTTTTAGGCCCTTTGTTAAAACTTTAGCTRCATACCAGGCCAGAACTAGGTGGAAGGACTATGTGGAAAGCATATACTTTTTTCCAGTTCAACTGCAATGCTGTAGACAAAGCCTTCCCATTCCAAATAGTAGAGAAAGATGTTTTAATTCTGAACAGGGCAAGCAGAAGACTGTGACATGGTGAGATATGTTGATAAGGGGAAACAGAGAGATAGAAAATGTGGCAAACAAGATCTCAGGCATGTGTGACAACTCCATGAGAAAGTTCCTTGCTCATTGAAGTTTCTGATGGAGACTTTTACACATTGCTGTGTGGTCCAGAAAKTGTTACTCACTACATACTCATTACTGGAGTAAGAAATGGCAAAKCTATTCAGCCTCCTTCCGTACAGACATTCTGGCATTTTCATTAAAAATTTTGGGTCAAAACTCAAATTTTCCAGGTGGGAAATATCTCTTCTCTGCTTTTCTCTATGTCGTCCAAGTACAGCAGTTTGTGAAGACCATCAGGGCTGTGTTGCTGGTCAAAAAAAGTTTTCAGYGAAAATACTTCAGTTGTTATTTCTAGCCAATAAAAAAAAACCCAAGAAATCAAAACAAAACCAAAAAACCAACAACAACAAAAGGGGGAATGCTTATTTTGTTTATCTGCAAATTCATATTGCAAATAGTAAACATATTGTCACAAAAGAAGCAAGAGCAGCAGAAATGAGAAGCCACTGAAAAAGTCTGCTTTCCCGCTGCAATCTCATCTTCCTAAAATTTTTGCCAGCCATTCTCTCATACCTTGATGCTTGATGTTAGACACTCTCCCCTTAGGGCGGATTATTATTATGTGGAAAATGCCAGTGTTTGCAGCACTCTGTGGCAAGTCCTAATCACTGCCATCAGACTGARATATTTATCTGACCCTTAACCTTCATGGCACATGTCCACACTGGTGGTCCTCCTTGATGGTTTGGAACAAATTTCACAGGAGGTCACTCTGGGCAGGCCAGCACGGTAGCTGATTATTTGCTGTAAGCTGTTTCATCTGCATGCTCCTGAAGAGGTTGCTCTTGTTTTTCTTGCACATTACCCTCTCTGAGGCATTGGACTTGATGTAGAAATTTCCAGAGGTAAACTTTTGGTCTTTRAAGTGCAGAATGTAACCAAACTGAATATTTTTTTCTCTCCCAAGACTGTCACTCTCTGGGAAGMCTGTTCTACTCTCTGCTTTTATTCATGGTGCTGTGACTTTTATCAAGACCCACTGGGGAGGGAGCACCCCCATCTCAGTGCCATCTTCAGCTTTACTTGATCATTCAGCTAGCACCTTTGCTTTCTCTTACAGTGTTTGCCAGAATCCTTAAGGCTCCTGAATCCCAAAATATCACCTTTGGATCCGTGGTGACGTTGCGGTGCASAGCAACTGGCCATCCAGTCCCTACTGTCACCTGGCTGGAAAATGGGAAAGCTGTAAGTGCCTCTTTTTGTGCTTTTGGCCCTGGAGGATGGCTATCAGCCAGAAGAGCAGCAGGGCTGGGAGCCAGAACCAGTGGTTTCTATTCCTGCCTAACTTAGCAYCTTGTTGTGCAATCTCATTGAGTCMATTTCATCTCTCTGCTGCAGTTTCCTCCTCTGAGAAAACATTGTCCCCYTTCTCCAGAATGTTGAATGACTTCATTTGTTAGGATATGGAAAGCCCAAGATGAACAGTGCTCTACACCCTTTCAACTTTCCTGCAAGCCAGGATTTCTAAGACTTCATTGTGTATTTTGCAGCTTTCCTTTCCTTTTTTAATAACATGGCAACAATGACAAGGCAAGATAGCTTATTTGACAAWGTAACACAAATCACAAATACAGCAAAGTCTTGAAGTAAAACACCTGTGGAACAGTACTATGCACAGCATATTTGAAGGAGAGAATAGATCGGAAATTTTCTAGACTGACCTAGGTGATATGAAATATGTCACCAATTTATCCCTGGCCAGAAGCATGCTCTTGAGAAAGGCACATCCTCTTCAATGGGGGCAACCAAGGGATGCAACTCCACTGCAAAACCACAGAAAGTTTCCRTGATCTAATGATCCTGACCACTTAAGATAGGTGCTTGCTTTCAGTTTGCCTGGCTCTCATGCCTGTSTGCAGCTATTGCAATGCCTCCACTTCAGTGAACTGAGGACTTGCACAACACCCAGTATTGCCTGTGTGGGAGCGAGCAGGGCACTACAGTCATGGCAGCTCTGCAGCCCAAGCCTGCCATGGGTTTCATCTTCATGTGCTTGTAGTGAACATGTTTTATACACTCTTTGGTCTTCTGGCAGCCTTTTTAAGGACGTGAACCCAGGGTGTGGTGCTGGAGAGGCAGGCAGAGTGTCTGGTCAGTTTACCTCTGCTTTTTCTCACTGACCTCCTCTCAGCCCCAAGTCCTTCTGAGCACAGGCTCATTCCGACCATTCCTCTGGACTTGCTTGTCCAACAGGACCAATAAATCCTCTTGTTCCTTACAGTAGGGGGCTATCACTATCCTGCTTTTTATCTCCTCTTTCCATACATTATAACACATAATGAAGTCCTCCTGGTTACTCTGCAGGCTGTCTTGCCTTCCTTGCCTCCTCTATACCTGTTGTGTCCTCCAGTCTGATTAGGGCTAATTTTCTATATTCCCTCAACCTTGCTAGGCAGAGCAGCAAAGGGATCAGATCAGCCTGTGCTGAGACCTCTGGRTGCTCAGTGGTTTCTGATAATATTTAGTTTGAGACAACTGCAGGTGTTTATTTAAGACTTCTTCCCCACTGGGAATTAAACATTTGGCAGGAGTTTGGGGTGCCTGGCAAGGCCAGCATATTTCCAGAGCACAGACGTGTCCTCTGTTGAGCTCTCTACGGATCCCACAGGGAGCTGAGGTACCTGAGATGACGTTCTGCCCCTCACTGGTGTCATGCCTGACCGGCCATGTCTGCTCTGCCCCATTCCTGTCTGAAAGACATAGCCCAGTCCCAGGAGGGTGGTGCTCCAGATTGCTTCACTTTAAATATGGCAAGGAAACCTTAATGGGAGCCCAGCTCTGGGAGAGTCAGCAGGAAGCCAGTGGATTGGAGATGGAGAATTTGAGGGCTGGCTCACAGCAATGGTGAGTCATTTGAAGATGCAGCATGCCTGTGGCATTATGGTGTCTGAACACCGACCTGTAATTGTCCCRAGGCTCAAAGAATGGGTGTTTACTGAACTTACTGAGCTGCCTTGGAAGAGGAGGATGGAAACTGCAGCAGCTGCCTTGTCTACCTAAATAGAAACAAAATCATTTCCCTCCCGCTATGCACCACAGGGCATCATGGACCTTTTAATGCAGTTTTCCACACATTCAAGAATAAATGAGGCAGGTGTGAAGATGTGAAGAGGTCTCTAATTTGCTGGTAGCTGAGGCAGTGTTTTGAAGGCTAAAAAGAGAACTCCTGGAAACAGAATCTCAGGAAATGTGCTTGAAATGGGAAGGGAATCAATTAACGTGAGGGAACATCTTGAGGCTTCCAGTAGAGAAAATAACAGCTGGTCAGTGTGGAATTCCTAGGCACCACTACCTGTGATTTTCCTCAGTGCGTGGTTCATGCTGCTTGTACTGCTTGCAGTTACCAGAGCAAGAAGCTGCCTGTTCCAAGCCAGAGGGAGCAATTCCAGCTCTCTGTGCTCAGCAGGCACAGTCCAGCACTGTCAGATGTGGTATCCCCACAACCTGAGGAGCAAGCAGGGGCAGAAGGCTGGATTAGCACAAGCTGCTCAGGGCAAGCAGGCACCTATCCCAGAGGGGTGCTGCTAGTCAGGGGCAGCCTACAGGAATATCCTCCTTTCCACTGAGAAGGTCCCTGCACCATTTTAGTGCTGAGTGGTTTCCRGAGAGAAAAAGATTCCAAAACTAAATTTGAGCAGCACTGTAACAAAAGAGAAATCAAGAACAAAATAGAAGAAATAACCCCTGAGCTCCCACCGTCTTGAGGTGGCTTGATGTTTTAAGACCAGAAATACCCCTGGTCCCTGAGTTTGCACAGTGTCTGACATACCTGGTGCAGCACTTACAAACTGTGCTGGTCTGATTATTTAGTGATTTCTTCCCATGAATATTCTGTCACCACAACCCCAAGCTGCGTTTGAGTGAGGCAAAACAAATATGTTCTTCTCAGCTTTTTCTTTTCATAGAGAATCAAATCTGCTTACAGGACATGATACAACACCGATGTGTTCCTTCTTGCTTTTTCAATTATCGCTGTCAATACCTATGGGTATTTCATCTCACTGAAAGATCTCACTGAAAGATCTCATTGAAAGTGCAGTTTTACCAACCTCCATGGAGTCAGATTGATATCTCTGTGTTCTCAGTCAGATATGTAGGCAGAGTGCTTTGCTGGGATGGATCCAGGGAGACAATCTGTAATGTTCTTAGAGTCAGGTCACACCTGTAGCACCCACAGGCAGCCATATCTCACTTGAGTTGCATTTGATGCTTCCTTTTAGTATGAAGGTTAGACCAGGAAATGCTCTCTTTCCTACCTCCTTTGCAAGATAAGAGTCTGCATGTACCATGCCCGCCTACTTTAATGAACACCGTATTGGCAGGAAAGACTTGATGGTAAATCAAGCCCAGCCTGCCAAAATCAGCAGGCTTTGAGCTCATTTGCCTGGGAATTTCTTATCTGGGAAAAGAGCTGGCCAAAATCATTGTATTTGCATCTCCTTCCCTACTTCTAGTTGTCAGATAAGAAAATCTACCAGATATCTGTTGAAGTGTTGGAGTCAGAGCACTTTCTTTGCTCATGACAGCTCTGAGGGTATGGCAGTGGTTATATTAATCCAGAATCAATGACTTCGAAACTATTTTCTTTTCTTCCTCTGTATAGCGGAAGTCCAGGAAGTCCACAAAGTCATCTTGCTAAGGCATGAAGAAGCAAACAATTTACTACAAGAAGCCAGCTCAGTTACATAAGTCAAATTGTGACTATGACTCTCTTGAACTGAAACCTAACTGCAAAAGTATTGCTGAAGTGTGAAATAGGAGAGATCTTTTAACATTTATTTTTGTATGTGAAGTCAGCTGCTATGAAAGCACCAAAGTAACACCAACCGGAGAGCTTTAGCTCTCCGGCACTTTTGTCTCCTTGCCACATCTTCCTCTGCTAATTTAAATGCCTGGGACTGTGCCTCTTAGATTTTTCCTTGGTTTGCTTGTTTTCCTCTTTGTTGGAAATGCTGCTTCATCAGGTTTTTGCTCGTTTAGGTTTCTGCAGGGTCTGTAACAGAAAGTGTCCAGGACAGAGTGGTTGATTCCAGACTGCAAGTGTATGTCACCCGACCTGGTCTGTTCACTTGCCTTGCCACCAACAAACACAGCAAAACTTTTGGAGCCGCAAAAGCAGCAGCAACCATCAGCATTTCAGGTATGCAAGGAAAGAAGAGGTCATTAAAATTTTTAACCTTTCCTGCTGGGGAAGAGGAAAGGGGTGTGGAGTGCTCTGGAGGAAGGGGGGAAGTCTTGGAGAGCTGATAGTGTGCAGGGGCCTAAATCTGAGTAYGAGTGCATCCTCCACCAGGCTATTTCCTCGTATACTCTTACACTTTGGAGGCTGGCACAGCTGTCATTTCCTGAATGTTTGCTGCTGTCTTGTACTCTCTGTCCCAGCAGCACACTTGGTAAGTTCATCCACGTGGAGGAAGTCATGGCTGTGACCCAGCATTGGTATCACCTAACAGCAAAGTGAAAATAACTGTGAGCAGTTCTGCTACACAAGGGGTGGCATCCAGAGAGCAGGATGGCTGCTGTCAGAGGAATATCCTGCCTTGCCTAGAGTAATCTCTTCTCCCAGGGACATCTTCCAAATGTGAAAAGGATAATGAAATATTTCAAAGAGAAGAAATACTGTATTTCCCATCCCCATTTCTACTTTTAGCCTAGTCAGGTCTCTGTCCTACAGGTGCAGTGGAGCGGACTGGTACTTTGGGCTGGTGGGAGAAGTTGTRCTCCTCCAGGCTGTGTGTGCTCAGCCAGAGGAGAACAACCCCCAGACCTGAGCAGGAACCTGCCTTRGCCTCATCCCAGCTCAAAAGGCTCTCAGGACAGAGGTGTCCTGCCCTTGGCTGGTGCTCAGTGCCTCCTCCCTGAGCTGGCAGAGCCCAGCTMCTTGCAGGCTGTGGGCACCAATGTGTGCCAGCGCTGCATCTCCAGCCCTGGYTGCTCTCACCTCTTACAGCTGCTGCCTGAAGCAATGGATGTTTTTGTGGCTTAAACAGGGGATGCTGTTGTGTGGTGACCCAAAGGAGCAGGATAGAAGTGTGGGTTTACGGTGCAAGAGTCCATTTCAGCTGGCACTRCCTTGAATAATCCACTTCCTCCACTGCATTCCTTCTCACTTTATAGTGTTCAGTGTTGCCCAACGTTTCTTCCCCACAAGATGGTACAAAATATCCCCAGAATTTAGGTGCGTTTTTTTTTTTTTTCCCCAGAGAGTCTACAGTTCTCAGACAGATTTCCTATCATGGAAATCTTAACTTACGCAACTCAGAGAGAGAAATGAATTGTTACTAATGTCTTTTCCATTTCTTCTTTCTCCTGGTTCATCACAATTCCTGGATCTGACGCCTCTCGGCAGAATGGAGGTAAGAATGGCTTTCTGTGATTTTGTTGAGGCTCTTTCTGGGCCGGGAAGAATAATGATGAATCAAAGGACTTTGGTTAATTTGGCTTAAATGGGGTGATAGGGCTTCTGGATGCCAGTCATGCAGATGAGGTTCACCTGAAGGGATTACTGAGCTCCTTTAGAGGGACATAGTTGGAGACTGAGCTTGGGTAGATAAGGATGGTTTTGAGTCAAGCCAGCAGTAAGGGTGTTTGAAATATTGTAGTGGGAAGAATATTCTAAAGTAAATTCTATTTGGCTACAGAGCTGTAATTTCACTTGGCCTTATAAATTTTCATGGCAAAGCTTAACYGCAAGTTAAACTCCTGCCTGTTGGCAGTTAATAAATGTAATTTGGTTTGGTGTTCACCAGGTTAGGGCAAGAGAAGTTTGTATTTGTTCCAAGCAGAGTTATGGATGAGTAAAAGCCATGTGATGAGAAATGTACTTCTACTTTGTAATTTTGGGAGTACTGAACAATTCAATTGGCCTTTTCTTTTTAGAATCCTACAATATTTGTACATGCTGCCCTGGCAGATCAGTCTGAAAGGAAAATGAGAGTATTTAACCTGGGAGATGGGCTGGGARCTTCTGGCCATCAGGGAAAAGAGTAGAGCCCAGAAAAATATGTGCCAATGGCTTTGCCACTCTGCTGACACAGACTCCCCACAAAAGCCTTTGCCTCTGTCACRAGATCTTGCAAGATTGAGTCAGGAAGTTTGCAAGTGATTAAGTGACCACCCAATGATGATGACAGACTTATGCCTTGCACCTTCACCTGGGCAGGTATGACAGGCATGGGAAAACAGATGAAGTGCAAGACCTTCTATCCTACAGATGTTCTCAACATTTGCTGCATGGTGTTCSCTTTCTGTGACAAATCATTGGGAGAAACACCTTGCTACTTCTCCATCACAACTTCCTTGCATATTTTAGAAAAGCAAGGGAACATAACATTACCACTGGTGGCTCCTGTCAGACTTCTTCTGCTGCCCCCTCAAGTCAGCAGYACAGCTGCCCACACAGTCCTGTCCATGCTTTTGCTTCTGGGGCAGAGGAAGGATGCAACTTTCAGATTAAGCACAATGGGAATTCATCAGGAATATGACCCCTGCYATGCCAAGAACATGTGGGTTGTTGGGAGCAGTGCATTGCTTTGTTTCTGGAAACGTGCTGTGTGCTGGGGAGATGTCATGGACTGTGAGACGGGTGCAGCATGCTGGGGGACTCCTGTGTCACATGAAGAAGTGTTCATGGAGCCTGGGACAATGCWGACTGTCACAGCATTGCCAGCACTTTGGTTAACCTGAAGGAAYTGGTGCCTTCCTACATTTTTTTTATCCAATGTGACACAGAAAAAAAAAAATCTAAAAAAAAAAAAAATCACATGGACTCCAAAATAGAGCAGCTACAACAGGACCAGGTAGTGTAATCCACAGAGAGCAGCATCTGAAGAGCAGAAGTGTGAACACCCTGTAGTATCCCCATGTCTATGTACCTCCAGCTCTCTGAAGAACAAAACATCAAGAAACCCCAAGTTAACAATGGATGATTATAAGGACAGGGGAAAGAAATAAAAGGCGTAGATACAAATAGCTCTGTTGACTGCTCCAAATGGTTGGCATGTTGTGAATTGAACTCCTTGACCCCAGTTACGCTGACCGAATGAGCAGTGGGGACAGCTGCAGCCAGCCCTCCTCCCTGCCCTGATTTGGCCATCCCCTACACACAGGGAGGCTGTGTTCCCAGCTCTGCCTTCCATACCAAGGACACTGCATCCCACAGGCTGCACAGRCAGAGGACACCTCCTAACCTGCAGACCTTGCTGCTGCTGGGTGACTGTGGGAGCAACTGGAAGCACGGCTAATCTGTGCTCTTACCCTGCTGCTCCCTTTTGATGGCCATGGGCAAGAAGGGAAGGAGRGGGAGATTTCCTAGATGCAAAATTCTGCAGGAAAGATAAATAAATGGCTCTCAAAGAAGATGACCATACTCTGATTTTTATTGCTCCTACRTAGCTCTGTCTCCATGCTGTGTGTCAGGACTTTATAAAGTGGGAGATGTGGTGAAGAGAGAAGATGGACCTGGCAGRGAAACACCAGGAAGAAAAATACAGAGGCTTGTGTCTTCTTCATCTGTCAGCCCCCCAGCTAAACTTGTGGAAGAGGGGCAGTGTCAGGAGTGATGCAGGAGCTAAGGAAGGGCAGGCAGGAGCTTGGTCTGATCTTGTGAAAAATTCGCTGGCACATGATGGGTTGAACTTACCTGGCTCCTGTTCATTGAGTCTCTCTTAAATTAAACTCTAACTCTTGTCAGCAGAGTGAAAAATCCTGCAGCAAGCAGCAAGGCCGATTCCTACTGCAGGGAAGAAGGAAAGTAAAGTGTTTTCCCATTTAGAGCCTAGGGGCAGGGTGAAGGGCCATGCTATGTCAGGTCATGGTTCTGTGTGATCATTCAGTCTTTTGTCCGCTTAAAATGTTGACRCCACTTGGTCAGACCCTCATCCCTGGAGCTCACCCGGGCTGACACCAGGGTACCTTGCAGAAGTTTCATTCTTGGATTTTATTAGATGATTTTAGTAGTTATAAACATSTGCCATCTCCTTTGCCCTCTGTTAGCCTCACACACTCTGCTTTATTCAGAAAGAGAGGCATTGTGCTTGTGCAGCTGTTTAGGGCTGTGAGCTWACTCTGTGTGTGTGTGTGTCCTCTTGTTTCTGACAGCAAGCTGTACAAGGGTGACGCAGGTTACTGCAGCACGTACAGAGGTGAGGTGTGTAGTGCTATCTTGGCGAAGAATGCTCTTGTTTTCTTCAACTCCTCCTATGCTGACCCAGAGGAGACCCAAGAGCTGCTTGTGCACACTGCCTGGACTGAACTGAAAATGGTGAGTTCATTCTGCCAACCGGCTGCTGAGTCTCTGCTGTGTAACTACATCTTCCAGGAGTGCAATCCCTCGGGAGCTGGGCCAGCTCCAAAACCAGTGTGCAGGTAAATGAAGAAAAAAAATGCTCATGTTTTATTTTCATTTCATGGGGATTTTTAGGCAGCAGGGGAATGGTGAGAGACTTYGCAGGTTTGCTGTAGCAGATGACGCTGAGTGAAGCTGGACCCTCTAGGTTTGCACAGATTTACCCTTTGCTCTCTGCTGTGTATACACAGACTGATTCAGCTCTTGCTGTGCTCATTGCTAGGGTGTGGTCTGAGCTCCAAGTCCAGACCTCTATGTTATATCAGATATTTAGAGGACAGTGTTGAAAAGAAGTATCCATTTAAATGACATAAATGATGTCAATATAATAAACGATACTGTTATCAGTTAAATCTTACTAGGCCAGTACATACGTATTATTACTAAAAAAAGTGATTGCTTCTTTGGAATTTTGACTAAATGTGGCTCCAGGGGATGCAACAAATCTGGCCAAGGCAATACACCAGTCATTTAGCACTTCTTGCTATGACAAAAATGTGACAAATATGATGAGACGAGAGACACTGCCTTTGTAATTTTACCTGCTAAACCAAAACTCCAATCTGGTTATTGTATCCTTGTATATGCAGAGAAATRTCCATTGAAATTGGGCTGACAGGCACCCTGAAGAGTTCAAAGCATCTCTCACTATAGCTAATCTACTGTTGACAGGTATTTGTAAACACATCCCAGTGACAGAGACACTGTGCCTCCCTATGCAACGTCCTGAGCTGTCCTTCCCTCCTTGTTCCTTATTCCCTTACCATGGTCACGGAGACGAGYTTCTTCTCTTCCTCTTTGCAGTGAGATTTTACATCTTCCCCAGGTTCTCTGACCAGAACAAAACAGGTTTCCCAAGCTCWGCACATAGCTTTTGCTTTTCTGTCCAGACCAGGTTTTGTTATTCTCAACTATAATGAAAGTATGATTGCTTGGTGTGCTTTGCAGAGGACAGCCCTACATACATATACCAGCCTGAAGCTTTCTTTTTGTCTGACATATTCAGCCCCTGGAAGATTACCCATTTACAWTTAGGCAGCTGACATCCCTGCCTAAAGTGCAGTGCTTTGTTCTTGTCTTCCTTGAAACACGTTTTAAAACACTATTCAGATCTGTGTTTATTGGAACAGTGGCCACAACTCTRTTGTCTCAAATAAAATACAAGTCTCCTCTACAGACATGGCAAGCACACTGCTARCTGAACTTGGGCCAGATGTCTAATGGAAATAATTTCTCCAGTTATGTAGGAGCTTTTTAGGACAATTAGCAGCATGTTGTTTTTGYGATCTGGAGCTTTTTGGTTTCTTCTCCTTTAATATCACTAAAACATAGACACAGAGGAAAATCCCAGAACGAATATTGACTTTATCTTTAGTTTTCTATTTAGTATCTATGYTGCCTACTATTCCACCATTAACACAGCAGTGGCATATATTCTCTAAAAGAAGTACATGTGCAAGTATCCAGAGATAATTATGAAGCCAAAAAYTGGCTTTTTACTGGCAGGGTCCTCCCTGCCACCTCACTATTCTGTTCTTTGTCATTGTACCCTTAAATACATGATCTCTCTGCCTTTTTTCAAGATGTGTGACAGTATTTATATCTCAGCCACGCGTGCACAGCACATTAGTCAGCGAAGGGTTTTGCACAGTGCTCCACAAGGCATTTCAGTTAGATTTGTGCCTTGCTTAGATGGTGCAGTTAGATGGGGAAAGAAATGGCCTGGCACCATCTTTCTTCAAATCCATGTGTCAGTGTTGGTTTTAATTAATTATTTCTCCTCCCCCCRTCTGATTTTAATGCAGCTTCTTCATAACAAAAGTTCTGCAACAGCATCCTTCCCAATTCCTGTTCTCAGAGCTCATCAGCTGGACAGCAGTTCTTCCAAAGCCCAGTATTCCTTTAGATAACTCGGATATCTAATGTATACTTATTAATGACTGAGAGAGGTCTGGGGGCTGTTGAACACATCTCACATGGTCTTGGTTGCTTTCCAATTATCTTAACTACTTTTTACTGACAACTTTATAGCTTTCTGCAGAAGCTGACTTTCAGTTGAAATACTTAATGAGTAAGAACGCTCTCAGATGTGGGACAGTTCTCCCAGTTTTTGAGAGACATGTTGCTCTCGATGTGTTTCCATGTGTTTTTGTCTTATTATTTATACTCTGCRCAAGCTTTTCTCTTTCCATGTCACTTTTTCAATATTCATTTTGGCTTGCAAGCTATCTAGCACGAATAACAACTGACAGGCTGAGAAAAGCTTTTTTAAAAAGAACCAAGGGATAAAACAAGATGAAATGAAACAGAAGAAAACCACATGGGAAGTTTCACTTAATGTACATTTATATGAAAATTGATTAAGAGTTCTTAAGGGAAAGTGAKGTCTCATCTCATAATTCTTGATCACCTCTGCCTTTTGCTACTGGCTGCTATTGCAATAGCAAAAGAAACACCCTCAACTTCTGTTTCAATCACTGCTGATAGGAAGCGATCAGRCTGCAGGAAACAGTCTTGTGTTGGGGAATAATTTTGTTTGGGTCTTTGTATCCCCAGCTTCTCTTATACAGTGTCTTGTGGCTCCTAGAAACACTTCTGGCACAGGCTTGCTGTCTTCTGCCATTACTGTTCTTTGTCCATCTGTCATTTACATGACATAACATTTCTAATGTTAATCTTTGTAATGTGACCTCACCAAGCTCTCAATGCTCAGCATCAAGTGTTGCAATGATGATRTGAACCCAGTTAGAGGAGGCTGGCCATCCCTCCCTCTGGCTGCCTTACCACTCTTCCAGGTGGGTTTGTGGTGCAGATAAACTTCCTTTAACCCTGGAGCAGACAGCATTGCAGAAGAAAGGTCTTCTGAATGAAGGGCTTCTTTAAGGATGCTCAGCCTCCAGGAATTCAATCCAGATCTCACAAATCTCAGCCACTGCTTCAAATGGAAGTTTTTCTCATTTGCCTATCTAAGTATTCCTTTACATCAAAAGGTCATTCCTGTTCTCTGTGTTAACATTAAAAAAAGATAAATTTGCCATCTGGCTGCATTCTGGCTTTCATGGAAAGGAGGAAGGAATAATCCAGGACTGGCTGAAGTCAACCACTGARCAGATGGGCATTGAGGTCTTCAGCTGACCTGCTGACTTGAACAATTACTGTTGTAGAAAAGTTGTTGCTCTGGTGGAATTCCCAATGACCTCCATCCTTCARGTGCCTGAGAAGATTTGTAGTGTTGTTAGTCATTACTGAAATTCATGCTCATCTTCTCTTGCCAAAACTGCTGGATAATTAAAGAGATTGCATCAACCCACCAGATGATGAATTTGTCTAAATCTTTCACCACAGACCCTAGAAGTACCTTTCTCTTTCTGCATCATTGTGTGATGGTTGGAAAAGTTGTAGGTCTGTGAAGGACTTCATCTGAGCCCCACAAAAGTAATCTCTGCACACRATCTCAAAGCTGGTTTTGCAACTCAGGCTTTAAAGAACGACTACATAGATAAGCAAATAATTGATAAACTGACCAATACAACAAATCCACAAACTTCCATGAATGGTGCATTTWTTTTAAATTTTTTTTTCTGGTGTAGGTATTTCTGCCTTCCCTTCTTCACAAAAAAAATCTCATTTAAGGCCCATTTGAACATAGAAAGCACTTTTGTCAGTGAATGTTTCACATTGTTGTGGAGGTAACATGTTAGGTGGGAGACAAGTTACCTTTTTACCAGGCACTCTAAAGCTTTTACTGCACATGGTTGACAGAGCCAATAGGGATTTAAAGTTGTCTGTAAAGAAAATTTTTAAATTGTATTTGTGATCATTCACTAGTGAGATTAAAAGTATATGCAAATATTTATTTTAAGAAGATAAAGAATTGCAGCTCTCCTCTTGCTTTTAGTAGATGATACCTTAATGTACAATTTAGARAAGCCAAGTGAGATTTTTAAAATATACTGAAAAGTTCTTACTCTAGAATTGAGGGGCGATTTACAAGAGCATGTAGTAACAGGACTGACCAATCCCCCAAGGGGGAATGTCTTCAAATTGAAAGAGATTAAGTTTAGCTCAGATAATAGGAAGAAATTATTTGCTGTGAGAGTAGTGAGACATTGGCACAAGTTGCCCAGGGGAGCTGTGTATACCTCATCCCAGAAAGTGTCCAAGGCCAGGTTGGATGGGGGCTGTGAGCAACATGGGATAGTGGAAGCTGCCCCTGGCCACGGCAGGGGTTTGGAACTAGACATTCTTTCATGGCTCTTCCAACACAAACAGATGTAAAAAAAAAATCTGGAAAAAAAGATAGGAATGAACTCCTTACAGACTGGCATGTGTTGTGTTTCRAACATAACCCTGCTTCATTAAAAATGTAGCTTTGTTTGTTTCCTAACGGAAGCTATTGCATTTCATACAGTTTCCTTTATGGTTTATGAGCCAGACAGATTTGCTTTAGAGAAGTGTCACCCCATTAAAGAATTTCTGTCAGCCTGCATAACCCCTGCACATCACTGCTAAGTGCAGCCATTTTTATCAAGCCATTGACAGCTGTATTTCACTGTTTTTTGCAAAACAATGTAGAGAGAATTGCCTTGCTGTAAAGGATCTCTACTGCTTTAAGGAATGGCTCTCAATGGAGGAGAACTCTCAGAAGGGGATTTACAAGCCAGGGCTGATGCTGCTCACTCTTCCTGAATGCAACAGGCTGCCCAGCCTGCACCAGAATCCCAGCTCCTGCACCCGAATCCCTTTCTTTGGTAAGGTGGCACATGCTGCTGCTTGTCCAGAGACCTGTGTTCTTGGTRAGGGAGGGGGGAGAGATATGATCCRTAATTTACAGCTAAAATAAAAGCCAATGGTGGGTACTGTCCTGTCAGCACCTGTGCATGGAATTGCGACAGCTGCTTTGGCTGTGTGCCTCTCTCTTCCAACTGGGGTGTGGGAAAGATCCCTCAAGTAAATAATGCCTGGATCTTTATTGAGAAGATCATAACAATCTCAAGGTATTGTCTTAAGAATAGCAAAATTGCTGCTCAGTGGCCTTTGCACAGAGACAAGCTGTTGAAGCACTGCTAGGGAGGAGATATCTTCCTGTAATGTGCTTTTAAGTGCGCATCCAGTAATATAGCATCCTGGACACTCCCTCCTTACATCTTTGTCTTGTCTTTTTACAGATTTTAAGAAGGAGAACATAACCAGTAAGTAGACTACTCCAGGCTTTATGTTTTTAGGGRTGGGCATGATATTCTTCATTGAAGCTGCCATTTGCACAGTATTTTTGTGTTTTCCCCTGGTCTTGGCTGGATAAATTCAAATTATTACTGGGGAATGCCTGAATTTCCAGGGCATGGGGAAACATATTTCTGAAGAGATGGGGAGATATGGGCTGGTAACTTTTCAAGAGAGAGGCATGGTGATTTTAGGTGATACCCTTCCCTCCAGGTATACTGAAATATGTAAGACTGTATCTCTGTTGTCTTCCTACTTCCTAGACTATGCCAGCATTCACTAAGCTTTCCCATGAGGACAGGTGCATATGAGGACATATGTCCTGTGAGGACATTTATGCATATTCCTGTAGTAAAATCTTCTCAAGATTGTCTGACTAATTTTTCTGCAGCTRGAGAAGATATCAGTGCCCCAGTAARAATACAGGCTGTGAATAATGGAACCAGTACTGCGATTTGCTTTCTGCCTTCGTTTGGCTGGATTGGTCCAGTATGGTTCTGCCCTGCACTTTYTGCATGGATGTGCCGTGAGCTAGGAAGTTGCAGCTCAACCATCACAGACACATGGCCTGTTTTCTCAGTCTGAAAGGGCTTCAGTGCCCTCTGAAATTTTACTGGATTTAGTTTTACATATTCASTGCAAAATCCATCAAAGTGTAAACAGGAGGCTAAGCAGTACCCTGCCTGTGGTGTCAAGCCCTTTTATGTGATTTTTGATACTGCCACATATTTTCATGTAATGTGATGAACTTTATTCTTGTGAGGTTCTGCTGCAGGACATGGTCTGAAATGTCTTGACCCCTTGCTTTTTTTTTTTTTTTTTTTTTATTTTTACTGCTTGGCTTTTTTTTTTTTTCCCCTTTTTTTTTTTTTTTTTTTTTTCCTTTTCCGTGCCAGGGACTTGCTACAGTGGCAATGGCCAGTTTTACCAGGGCACGGTCAACATCACAGCATCTGGCATTCCCTGCCAGAAGTGGAGTGACCAGGTGAGTGCATCAGTCTGAGACCCACCAAATGGAGAGCTGTGTTCGAGGTCTGCTTTTCAAATGAGTTTCCTGGAGTCAGGCAGCCCAATTTCAGTGAAAGGGATGAGCAGGGAACAGGTTGTCTTCATTCTTGAGCTCACTGGTGTTTCACAACCTCATCATATTTCAATCTGCAAGTTCCTCTTACTGTGTCAAGATGCATTCTCTGTCATTTTGGCAGGAAACTGAAAGGTTGTTTCAAGAAAGGTGTTCTTCACTCTTCACTCCTTTGTGTTTTTTTTTTTTTTTTTTTTTTTTTTTTTTTTTTTTTTTTTTTTTTTTTTATTTTTTTTTTTTTTTTTTTTTTTTTTTTTTTTTTTTTTTTTTTAATATATATTTTGTTTTACAAATAACAGCGGGGAAAAATCAAAGCACTAATGAAATTTGCTTCCTCCCCAAAGGCTCCCCATTTGCACAGGAGGACTCCTCAGGTTTTCCCTGAGTTGTCTGACGCTGAGAATTACTGTCGCAATCCGGGAGGTGAGAACGAGCGTCCCTGGTGCTACACAAAGGACCCTGCCGTGACCTGGGAATACTGCAGTGTGTCTCCCTGTGGAGATGGTAGGCAACTGTAGTTTATAATTTCTGCCACTGTGGTTGTTTTATGGCTGTTTGAGGTGTTCGTATCCTGAGTACTCCAATCTGCTGTCTTCTGGATTCAGCCAGTTCTGGGTCTTCTCATAGATTCTCTTGGCATCTTTAACCAGAAGGTGTAATGTGCCCCTTAGAGAGGGGAAAACAAAGGCAAATCAAGCACATGGTGCTGGGTCATACAAATGCCAAAGGATGAAGTAAAATTTCCTGTGGTGTTCTTAAAAATGTGTCTCTCACACTGTTTAGAAGGTAGGGTTTCAGGCAATTTTCTGAAGTTTTTTAGTTTAGTCTTCATTTTTTGATGTTGAAACTAAGTCTTCCTGTTACTTGATAAAAAACAGTCCAGATTTTGAAAGATTTTTAAACCAAAATTCCCAGTTTCTGGATCTGAGTGTTTGGAAATAAGACTGCACTTGGATATCTTCCTGCACAAAGAACAAAGGTTTCATGGACTTAATTGAACATAAGTAATTTTCAGTTTTCATTTTCAGTTTCAGCTGGCAGTTAAGAAGAAGAGTTTAAATTTCTTTCTGTTTTTAATCATTGCATGTACAGAGAAGCATTTTTAGGATGTCTCAGAAAGTACTCAGCATGTAGTTATGTGATTTTTTTTCCCTGTGATAATACAGCCAACTGTTTTAAACTAGTTTTCCATATTTGCCCCCTGAAGACACTGTGATGCAAATTGTTGGAGGCAATAGGATATTTCAGGAAAGTATCACTCTGTACTTACTTGGTCTTACTCTCCTCCCTGCAGATTCCTTTTACGACACATGATACATTGTGGTTTACATTGTACACCATTGATCTTTCTCATTGCAGACATTTCTATATTTGAATACTGTTGAGACTATCAAATGTGACCTCCCATCTGTAACTCTTGCAAATATTCTCGATCAAAACTGTGTTCCCAGCTTAATGGGAGCTATGTATTTGTCTTTCCCAGATATTGGATTTTCACGTTTGGCAAGCACAAATGGGTTGTGCTTCCTGCAAACCAGGCTTCCCTAGTATGGTCCTCTCATGTGGTCATATGGTTTTATCTGTAATGTCAGTAATTCCCAGGACAGCAGGCTAGTTCTGTAAATTCCTCTTAGAGAAATGTCCATAAACCAACAGAGGCATAACCCTCTGATTTTATTTGCATTACAGCGTTATTAACATTAGGAACAAGAAAACCAAATGGAGAGACTCTAAATCTTCCCCCTCCTCCTCCGTTTTCCCCTACGTACTCCATGAATGTTATCATCTCGATCGTCTCCAGCTTTGCTCTTGTTGTGATCTTCAGCATTGTCACTCTATTTTGCTGCCGACATCGAAAGCAGTGGAAAAACAAAAAAAGGTAAAGCTTGGAACTTAATTTAGTGAAAGAAATGCTGCTTTGAAAATAGGGCTTGCTTGTTTTGGAGAGCAAAGTCCTGTGAACACCTGGTAGGGGACAGCAGCACTCCCTTTGCCTGTGGCAGCCCTGTGTAAGTTCTGTCAAACTCCTGTGCCCAAGCAGAAGGTGGCCTGGTGACTGGAGACATGGCATGACATCTTGCTGCAAGGCTCCTTCTATAGCCCTGCTTCTCCTCCCTTTTTCATCCTTAAAGAAATAAGCCCAGGAGGAGAGGTAACTAGTTATATCCTGGCTGAGAGCTGTGCATACACACTGACTGAAAATTGTTCCGTTGTTTCAGAGAGTCAGAGACACCAACTCTCACCACTCTGCCCTCTGAACTGCTCCTGGATCGGCTGCACCCCAACCCCATGTACCAGCGCATGCCTCTTCTCCTTAATCCAAAATTGCTTAGCCTGGAGTATCCCAGGAACAATATTGAATATGTGAGAGACATTGGGGAAGGAGCATTTGGGAGAGTCTTCCAAGCCAGGTAAGCGGAGTCTGTGTGAGTGTTCTTTATTTGTCAGCACTTGTGAAAAATTGGCATTGAAATCATCCATCCATCCATCCATCATCCACTCAGATGCATGTGCACCAACTGGTATATTCAGTTTTGGATGATTGTTTTTGTTGTCCACTGCTATCTGTTGATATTTGGTAAACTTTTGTTGCAAATTATTCTCTTCCACTCTCTGAAAGACGTAATGTGTTATTCACATACCAAAGTCTAAGTTTATCATCACTGTTTTTGCCAAGAGTACTGACTGTGATATGTAACCTGTTGTGAAATTTTTGAATTTCCCAGTATTTATGAATTGCCAGAGTGCGGTGATGTCCATTGTAATGCCAATACTGGCCAGTAATTACCACAGAAGTCATTTTGTCATGCTAAAGTTCAGTSCTGACCAAGTTTCAATTTGATTCAGTGACAAAGCCAAACCAAACCAAAAATCCCCTAAAACCCCTCCCCACACAGGCCAACAGGGATTTTTTTTTTTGTGTGTCTGTGGTGTCCCCACCTTAACGGGAAATGCACAACCAAGATTTGTAGATGCTYGTGGTTGCAAGGAACAGCAAAGGTCAGAGTATCTGCAAAAGCTTACAAATTTTTGTTAGCAAATTATACATCTGGCATGGAAATAACTATTTCATGGACCCTGACCTCCTGTGTAAGCACAGGGCAGTGGGTTTGARCAAAGACATAGYGCGAAAACGAAGGCAGAGAGAAAAATGGATTAAAGAGGAAAGGAGAGAAAGAAAGAAAGAAGGGAACTAAGGGAGATAAGCACTCCTGGCTGCACCATCTATTCAGCTGATGGGATATTTAGGGTCCTGGGGCACATGTATGTTCTTGCTTTCTGGGGATACCTTTTTATAGTTAAGTTTCTGGGCCCTGGAGCTAAGTTTTCCACTTTCTATGTAAGTGACTTATGATGCGCAGCCCCTTCTTCCAGACATTTCTGGAAATGGTTTAAGGAGCTCTAGGGGCTGTTGTGTGCTCTTGATCCCTCCTTGTAGTCCATTCCCACCTGCTTCTCACYCTCATTCCTGCACCTCGGGAGTATTGCGTTGTGCTTATCTCCAGGAGCCAGAACAAGGACACTCGTCTCAGAAGAATGCTGCTCTACCTCCACATGGCCCCTTTCTCCAGCCATAACMATTCTTGGTTGGCTCCGTGGCTATCTGGATATCAGTGTCGGAATAATACATATAAGTTCCTTTATMTGTAGACTTCTACTGTGTCACCTTTAGTTACTTTCCCTATTTRTTTTTGGAATTTGCACCCATTGTTACCTTTTTAAAACTTAAGATATGAGGTGACAGCCCAGTTCTGTTAAATATCATAGGAGTGCGACAGTGCACTTCTACAAATGTGAAGAGTCTTYAATGGACAACCCCAAAGATGAGGAGGATGGAAGAAGTCTATTTTGYCTTCACATAATCCATTATTTCTGCAAGACAATTTTTGCACAGAAATGGTGTCCTCATAAAGTTCCATACCCAAATTCCTGAAAGTGTGCAGGCTGTCAATTTCCTTAACTAGTCAGGGCAGTTTTCTTTGTGCTTTGCAGTTAACAGCTATGGGGACATGGCTGATTTTTTAGCTATATCTGGAGTAATGTATGGCTTCAAAAAGTGTGGCTTCAAAAAAACCCGGGTAACTATCTGAATCTGACCATGGGCCAAGATCTGCCTGGTGAAATCCTTGTTGTCTGCAAAGACAAAGGACTATCCTTGCAAAAGGCAGTCATAAAGCAGATATTTGTAATGCATATAGTTCTGCTCTTGATGTACCTGCTAGAAAATAAGTTCCRTACAGGTCAAATGTGTTATACATCTGGGAAACTGTTTCAATAGCTGTAGTGGATTTTTTTGCCTAATGAAGAGATAAATTATTTCTAATGGAAGAAAAGCAGGCATACTTTCCTTTAGCACAGAGAGAGCTATAAATAACAAAATTCAAAGGGCACACAGTGGGATCGTCACAGATGCTTAGCCTGTGATGGATTGTTAGCCTGGATGGCTGAAAGCATCTGATCSTGAAACAAGAACAAAGCTACAGAAACTGCACGACAGCTGTGCTTGGGGCAGTGTACACCATGGGCACAGGGCAGCTCTTGTCCCAGCCTCAGCACAGCGCTTGGGGTGCCCTGAGGTGCATCACCTTCCTGCTCAGCCAGCGGGAGTCTGCACCTCGCTGCGGTGCACGAGCAGGGCAGACATTCTTCTTGCTGAATGCTACTTTAGCCCTGCTCTGGGAGCTTTAATGCAATCTAAGTGCTGCACAGACCTTTCTGAGCTGGAAATTACTTATAGGAACATCAAGCAAGACTTCTCAAAGGGCATTCAAATGTTGCTAAAGTGCTAGGTTAAGGAAGTGTCAAATGGTGTAAAGACCTTTGMTGTGGATTTCATCCACTCCAACACTGCAATTTCTTTCGATTAAAACTTTTTGTTATTGTCAGTGGAAATTGAGAGAAAAAGACATGGGAGGAAAAAAAGAAAGCATCACATCTTATCTAGCATTTGCAAAGTGAAGATTACCACATCCTGAGAGATGCCTTCACTCAGTGGTTCAAGGGAAGAGCCACAGAAATTTTACTTCTGAGGAACCACTTTTTTTTTTTTTTGAATTACCATCTCTATCAAAAGTCTCTCCAAGACTTTAACATTCCTTATAATTATTATGATTCCTTATAATAAGCCGCTGCACTTCTGTACACTGCTGGCAGATCAGGGCAGACTGCTGCCCCAGCAGCACAAGCGGTATATCTATCCAGGTTGCTGAAACTATCACAACTCTTAATTATTGCCTTCCCATCTCAGAAGGATAAAATGTACTTTCCTATGTGTGTTAAATGGACATCTTGAGCTAAGTTTAGCAATCCTCTTACATCTCCCGCTCTCATATTTCTCCCTCCTCTGTAAACACAGCTCTGCACACAGCGCCAGTGATGCCTTTGCCAGTTGGCTTGCTGTGAGTCCTGATTCAGTGTTTACTCACTCCTGGGTCAAGCAACATGTTAGGACAGGAAGTGTCTAGCTATCATTTACTAGCTTCTCCTGAAAGGCTGCTGTCTTCACCAGGAGCAGCTTCACACTTGGAAGGATMGGGAAGCAACCATGCTTAAAACAAAGTTCAGGACCTGGCTCAGGTCTCTTCCAGCTGGGTCCTTGTGGCTGATTCTGCTCCTGGGAGGACCCTGCTGGCCCCACAAGCCACCAGAGCACCACCTCCATGCAGTTCAATGCAGACCAGCATGCAAGTACAGACTGACATACAAGTTTTCTCCCAGAGCTGAAGCTGTGTGGTTGAGGTAAACCTGAAGATCAGGATTGCCTAAAAGCCTGGTTGTGGAGGCTTTGCTAGTTGGCCAGTGTTGAGTTGTTGCTAGAAGTCTGGTAGAATTAGACTACAAATGTACAACTCATTGTCCCTCCTTAGGGTTTCTTCACAGAAGTTTCCTCATGTTCTCTCCATCTGCAAAGGGTATTTCTTTGACCTGCTGTCTCATATACAGCTGAAAACCAGTGTGGGTGCAAAAGACATGATTAAWTGTGCTATTGCTGATTCAGAGAAGTCTCCTGCTCACAAATTAATTTAACCAAAGGATAGGGTAAAGGCAGGTTTCCTGCAGATTTAATAGATGTTAATTGCATCATGTAATGATCTAAGAGAAGCTACCCAATTGTTATACTGAACAACAGGGCTACGGACACAAGCTCAAACACAGGTTCAAAGGGCTCCTCATATTTTTACATAGTTACTTCTTTGGAAAGAAAACCTGACTAGGAACTTAAGTCAGGCACTCTCTAGATCGGCTCTGGGTGAAATTCCTAACGGCACGGCTGGCTGGTCCTTTGAATGACATGTACTCAAAAGCCAAATCCATTTGATGCACAAATCCATTGGTGATGAAGCAGGCAAGGACTGTTGCTGTCTGCCCTGTGTACAAATAGTGTACGTTTCTCCGCAACTTTTAATTAATTGCAAGGTAATTTCTTTTGTAACCTATTTTTCAGAAAACACTCCCCTTTCTGGCCCTCCACCTGAATTCTCCGGCTTTAGAGGCAGTAACTTCCCACTGCTCTCCTGCAGATATGCTTCTATCATTTGTGCAAAGACTGTCTTTAGGGCATGAGCGGGGTCAATTTCCATTCAGCTGTCTGCCAAGTCTTCAGACAGTTTCTGCCTCTGTGCCAGATCAGTATGAGTTTCCCAGGTCTGCTGAGAACTGGACAGAATGCCGTGAGTTACCAAGGGTGAAATTTCTGGCTGTTGCCTGAAGGCGAGTTAAAGACTGCACAGGTTAATCTCACTTGGTTACATCTAGGTTAGTTTATATGACATGATTCAGTGGAATTGTATGGTTGTGTGTACATCAGCCTGGCGTGAGTTTCTGTCTCCAAAGCATGTAGGGCTGGGCTTTGCCTGCCAGTGCTTTGGCACTGTTGCTGGGTTAGGGATCAGTGGTAATCTATGAGACTATTTGAAGAGATAAAGGCTCTCCTATTTTTACTTTTAAATTCTCTACTGCTTTGTTCAGGCTGTTACTGCTTGCTCTGGTGCTGAGATTAGACAGCAGGTGGTAGGTGCTCGTACTCCTTCCCTCGTCCTCCACTGGAAACTGCTGCCAGCATGGGGGAAAAGAAGGAAGACATTGTGCTGTAATGGAAGCAGTAGCAGACAAGTGTGGGGTSTGATACTCTGCTCCGGCATTCCAGACCTCCTTGCCTGAGTGTCTCAGCTGTGATCGGGCCACCTGTGGCTCTCTTCTTGACAGACACCCTGCCAACCACTGACATTTGACATTTACAGCCTCCAAGTGCAACTGTTGCRACTGCCATGTGCCTCAAGTAGAAGACAAGGAAGCTGGAAGTTTGCTTTGGAAATTGGAGTCTCCTCTTAGYGCTACTGAGCAATAAAATAACCTGGCATTTGAGCAGTGGGAAAGCAGTCAGGCTGGTGTAGTAACATGACACATAAATGGGCACCACTTGCTATAGGCTCTGGCTGGCTACCTGTGCAGAATGTGTTTGAGTTGCAAGGCCCCAGGGAAGAATTTGCACAGGCAACAAACTGCACATCTGAGGTCTGGTGCATGTTTGAARAGTGGAAAGTTACTCTTTTTCAGCAACAGCTACCCCTAAATCTTTGTCATTAAGATTAATTAATCTTAATTAATTAATCTTGGTGTGGGCACAGGCACTTGTAGATAGGAATACAAGTCTGTTGCTCTAAGTCAGGGTTCCATTTCCCAAGGATTTACGTTTATAAACCTTAAATGAAGATTCACCAGTGTCAAAACATGTATTCACTTGTTCTCCAGACAGTGCACAGATTTGCTTTGTCCCTTCTGTCCTGGCTTATGTTTCTACAAAACTTGTATGGATATAAACTTTTTTCTAGACCTCAGATACAGCACATTCAATTCAGCTGAAATTAGTAAATAGTTTTATAACTTGTTGAATTACAGGCACATACACATACCACGCACATACACATATATAGAGAGAGAAAACAGTGACAAAAGGTTCTTTCCCTTACAAAMCCAGGGGAACATACTTACTGTAATTGTTACTCTAACAGTAGTGAGGTGTACCACAGTCACCATTGTGCCCGGTATGGAAAAAGAGGCTCTTTCATTGGTTTATATAAAATAAATTAATTTTTAACTCTAGTAAGCTCAGCTGTTACAATCCAAAAATGAATTGTTTGGACTAAAGAGTCCATCCTGTCTTTCATAAAGTTTATGATGTGATCTCCAGCCTAGGGAGAGGCTTCTGYTTACCAGCCTGTTACTTGTGTCTTTACCAATCATGGTAATGAGTCTGTAAGCAGCAAAATCAGTAATCAAGAAAAAAGACATACTGAATTTAGTCTTGCCTGAACCAAATTAAACATCTCAATAATATACAATGCATATTGCTGGCTCAAGAGATGAAACTGGGCTTTAATATTTCTTCCATTGGTTCTGGGAACCTTCCTTTTTTTTTTTTTTTTTTTTTTTTTTTTTTTTTTCCATCGGAAACAATACCTACATTTGAAACAGAACTTACATTTAGTGTGCATGCATTAATCACTGATGGTTTCCGCTCTTCCCTCTCCTTTCAGGGCCCCAGGGCTGCTGCCATATGAGCCTTTCACCATGGTGGCAGTGAAAATGCTGAAGGAGGAAGCATCTGCAGACATGCAGGCCGACTTTCAGAGGGAAGCAGCTCTCATGGCAGAGTTTGACAATCCCAATATTGTCAAGCTTTTAGGTAATTCAGTGAGACRTCCTGTTGCCATCACATCAAACCCTCCTCATGCTGCACTGAGTATACTGCTGAYCATCTTTCTGCCTAGCTCTGCTTCCAGTCTGATAATATTGATACAGATGTCTCACAGGGAAGACRTGAACTTCCTGGAACTGTGATTTATTTTGTGGGTACTTAAAGGAAACGGCACAAGTCTCGTTAGTTTTACTAAGTCCCATTTACTATTGTGATGTCTGAACACTTAATAGCATTAAAGAAACTGAAATTGAATGAACAAAAAWATCCAGCCACAAAAATGGTTTCTCCCCTTTCTTCTCATCTGAAAGGAAACCCTTATTTGTCAGGTTTTTGAGAAAGTCTTGATGCTGCAGCTTGGCTAATAAGTAATTTTTCTGTGAAGAAAGCTGCTGGACAAATTTTCTTTTAGTAAATTTTACTTTTTTGACTGAAGTAAATGTTGCTGGACCCCTTCATCTGGCAATCCTGGTCCAAGCTGTTGTGTGAAGATCTGATCCCTGTGAACAGACAGCTGAGATCTTAATTTATTTCAGTAGAAAGCTCCACAACATTTTGAAATAGATAAACACAATTTTGGGAAAGCTGGATTGATACAAGTATTTTGGCTACAGAAAAGAAAAGCAGGAAAATGCATCAAACTCCACCAAATTTTGTGTTTATTGTTAACATATTTAGGTCAGGAAAGGGCAAAGGTACAAACTAGTATCACATCRTGGAGCTGTGGAGAAACAGCCACATTGTTGAAGACAGCTTAGATGATAAATCTCTCACATACACTTGTCATGCTTGATTTCATCTCATTGGAAACAGTCAYTTGTTTTTCCTCCAAGATTCAAATATTAGGTCATCAACCAGAATTTCAGATTTCACAATAAGTTGCATCAAATAATTGCTAAATTATGGCCCTAAGGAAGCAACACACACACATTTTAAATGCTGGCTTTTGCTGGTTGGCAGTTTAATGATAGGCACACAAGTGTTTTTACCATATCACTTTATGATGTGGAAGGCTTATGGAAGTGCAGTTGATGCTGGCCCACCAATAAAGCTGGTGTAGAGCCAAGCATGTGCCTGTCTGTGGGACTTGTTCTGCATCTAACAGATACGGYAAGCGTCCCCTTTCTGGTTTGATGTCTTTCTTTCATTTTTGAGTATCTGTCATGCCAAATGTAATTCCTCAATCAACATTTTTTTGTATAAGCAGTTTTAAAAAAGAGAAAAATCCTTAAGAGTGAGGGTTTCCTTGCAATTCAGGTGTTCCATTGAACCCTTAAATGTCCCCCTTGTGAATACTTCTGAGTTCTTCCTGAATCTGTGTAGGTCCTACAATATTACATTTGTGCATACGCAGTACAATATTATTATAGTACAATTTTACTATACAAYAATACTGTTAGTRCAATAATTACAACMATAAAAKAATTTTAAAATAACATGATCAGAAYTTTAAAGGTTACTTCCCGAAAGTACATATTTGCAGCTGCACCCGGGAAGAGGCAATACTCTTGTTAATGCTGACTTAAGTGGGAATGGGCTCATAATTAAACATAACTCTGTGAAGTTTGTGTCTTACCTGTGATGTTGAGACAAATCAGGCAAGTGCATGACTTGTTAGCATCTCAGAGCTCAGCATTAGATTCCTGCTGAAGGARCTTCAAAAGAGACAGAATGCATGAAAGGTGCATGCAAAGTTGAYGGTGCTAGCATGGTCACCTTTCTCTCTGGCCTTTCATGCGCTGTTGAAAGTCTCCCTTCTGYGTAAGAATTTTCGGACTTTTTGGAAAGTTTTGCGCAGCACAACCCTTTGCCTCCAGGATGACGTGTGTGTCCTCTGCCAGGTGTGTGTGCAGTTGGGAAGCCGATGTGCCTGCTGTTCGAGTACATGGCCTACGGAGATCTGAACGAGTACCTGCGTGACCGCTCGCCCCGCAACCTCTGCAGCCTGGCGCAGGGCAGCCTGGACACGAGGACGCGCCTCCCGAACCCCCTGGCGCTGTGCTGCACCAGCCAGCTCTGCATCGCCAAGCAGGTGGCCGCCGGCATGGCCTATCTCTCCGAGCGCAAGTTTGTCCACCGGGATCTGGCCACCAGGAACTGCCTGGTGGGGGAGAACATGGTGGTCAAAATCGCCGATTTCGGTCTCTCGAGGAACATGTACTCGGCTGACTATTACAAAGCGAACGAGAACGATGCCATCCCCATCCGCTGGATGCCCCCCGAGTCCATCTTCTACAACCGCTACACCACCGAGTCTGATGTGTGGGCCTACGGAGTGGTGCTGTGGGAGATCTTCTCCTATGGCATGCAGCCCTACTACGGCATGGCTCACGAGGAGGTCATCTACTACGTGAGGGATGGAAATGTCCTCTCCTGCCCAGACAATTGTCCCCTGGAGCTCTACAACCTGATGCGGCTCTGCTGGAGCAAGCTGCCCGCCGACCGGCCAGGCTTCGCCAGCATCCACCGCATCTTGGAGCGCATGTATGAGAGGGCCGTGGCCAACATGTCAGTCTGAAGGATGTGCTTCCTTCCTTGTCTCCTGTGTCCTCCTATCCAGAGTGACTTGGACCAGCCCGTGAGCTCCTGAGGGATGGTGGCCTCACAAAAGGTCCCACTCAGGGGAGGAGAAATAACTTATTCCATTACCAGGCAAGAAATATAGACTGCACCCCAGCCTGTACCTCCTCAACTGAGAGTGCACCTCCCAAACAACAGGGCTCACCTTTTAGCCACCAAGGCAGGACTCCTCAGGTCGGTGAGAGTGCTGGCCGTGCTAACTCAGTGCTTACATTTAGCATTTCCAGGAGTGCAGAGTTGCCCAGGGAAGTCAAACCAATGTTTTTTCCTAACCAATGTTTCTTCCTAACCAATGTTTCTTCCCTTCCTAACAGGTTCCTCCACACCCCTCTGCATTTACACTTTTGGCTTTTACCTTTTTGTCGCCTTCTTCTTATGTTTTCAAGTATTATTTAAAAAAAGAAAAAAAAAGATTGCAGAGTTCAATCTTCTTTTGGGGATACTACTGTTTATTATTTTATTCTTGCATACTGTTTACTATTCTGTTTTAACATACTCAGTTCTTTTTGCAGAAAAAGATGTTTCCGAAGTCACAGGTCTCTTGCTTCTTCCATTTAGCTTCCAATTCTCTCATGACAATAACAGTGACAGTCAAAATAGAAGCCTGCAGGACCACCGGCACCTGCACCTTATGTTGCACAGACAGGAAAACTCCTGTCAAGCATGACACTTTACATTTTCAAATGTGGGAAATCCAGAGTGAGGTGCATTTGATGTTTGTTAAAGTCTCTCCTGAAAGCTTTCCTTAAGCATTGCAACACATCTTTCCTGCCTTCCCCTGAAGCAGCAAAGCCATTGATCCTAAGGGAGAAATTAATCCCAAAGGTCTGGTCCTGCACCTTGTAGGCATCCAAGGTGTTTTTATTTGCCACTGCATGGTCCTCACCATGCCAAAAGCAGGGAGAAATGCAGCCTCTCTTGCAGAAATGTAGCAGGTTATATTAATTGTTTCTTCCCTTTTCCTTTAAAATGATTGCCTCYTGTTTCTGTTTGTCCTTTCCTGACAGTATCTCCCAAGTCCCACAGCAATATTTACTGGCCACCTTTCCTTGTGCTACAATTTACAGACACAGAATCAGGGAAGGTGGATGTTTGCTGTCAGGGGCCTTCAGAGAAAACCTGTCAGATAGTAGAAGGAGGAGAAAGTGGGTGCACACAAGAAGTGCTGCAAACTGTCCGTCTGCAGGGCAGAGATGAGACTGCCTCAGTCACACAGAGCCTGCAGCCCACCTCGAAACACCAAATGTCTCTCTGCTAAAAGTTCTTCAAATTGTAATGGATACTTCAGTGCCAGAGAAAATTTTGTCTGGTGACAGCTGTAACCTTTCAGCTCCTTGCGGAGTGAGGAGCAGTTGTCCCAGAGCCTCACTGCTGATACAAAATACATCAGGCAGGGATGTGCATTATGACTGCAGAGTGGGAGTGTGAGTGAATTATTGATCAGTGTGGCTTCTGTAATTGGTACGCACTGATTGAGCCTACCCAAAAAKAAAAAAAGCAGTGGAGAGCAGCTATCTGTGATTTCTAAAAGAAAAGTTGAGCTTGAAAAAATCTGCCTACCATTATGAAGAACAAAACTGGAAAGAACATACTTTCCTCTGCTGCTCTCCTATTAGTTTTGTGGTG